TGTTGAGTGGTGGTGATGAGGAAGGAGTGGAGTGCATCTTCAACAAACGTCATAAACGATTGCAGGGAAGAAGATGCCGCTGCTGTGGTGTTGATGGAAATGTTGGAGGTTGCAGAGAAATTCAAATCCATTGTATGAGGCTGCATTACCGATGTGTTGTGTAATGAATGTGAATACATCGTGACTTGGAGTGGAAGCAAAAGAAGCCTATTTTGGCGGTCTGATGCATTTATTAAATTGTTTCGATGTGTGCCACAAGTAGCAAACGTTTACTCCATGCAAGCGCATCGATGCCCACCTAAGGCGTACATGAGTTGGCTACAAGATTAACTATCCAGTTGGAATTACAATGTAACCGCTACAAACTCACTTCATTCCCTTCATTATTGCCATGAATAAAGTGCTACAGATGTCTGATACTGTCGTCCTCAAACCGTTTCTTTGAATTCATTGCATCTTCACATTCCCTGTCTCAGTAAACTGAACTTGGGAAGAGAAAATAACTTCCGTGGCGGTTCTGAAAGCTGAATGCTTCACGAAGTAAAGGCAAAGTAATGAAAGTGAAAGGTTAGTGAAGGATTCAACTTTGGTAAGACTCCACAAACAATGGCGTACCCTGGCATCGAGGTGCACCGAATTAAGCAAGGTTTCATTCAGTCTTCTCCTGATCAGATCGCAAGTGTTCTTGGTAATGTCTCTTAGTAACTCCCTTAGTGCAGGTCTCCAAGATCAGGTGCTTCGTTATTCAAGTTCAACTACACTTTAAACTCACACAACGCTCACTTACAGCTGCTCATTATCTTTGAACCTTCTCAGCATCACCTCTCCCTCGGTTAAACTCAGATTTGTGCGTGCACTTTGTCTCTTGGCTATATTCCAGCTTACTTTATCAAGCGCTTCATAATTTAAGCATTGACCCCTAAAATGGGCGAGTCTTGCAGATTATCATTCCCTACTGAGAGATATGATCACCTTCCTTGTCTTGCGAACTATCATGGATCCCCCACGTGACAGTTATGAATGCGATCAAAAGGCAGATGTTAGGATTGGATTTGGAACTGATCCTGACCATCCTATACGTTCGTTATTCTATCGGTGGATGGTGGCCATTCTAAAGGTAGGGAATTTTCATGGGATTTACTTTAGAAGAAACGCCAAAACTGTGTTCAAAAGAGGTGTCAACGTTTTCTGTTTGCCTTGGAGACAAGAAATTTACAATTGTGAATAGAAGGGAACTTAGTGCCATCAGCAGTTGACGTTGCCACCTACAACTATCGAGGGAAACAGACATTCGATGAGGTACGCCTCAATTCCAGATTGGCAACACCCTAATCGAAGGTAATTTAAAACGCCACATCGTGAATAACGATGAAACTGTCGTGGCGATCAGGTCAACGAGAGGTCAAATGCATAAACAGACATAAGCCATCGCTCTTTTTTCATCTTCAGACGTCGTAGAGGCTATTTTCATCCAAACAAAATGGAACGACTTTGCATACCGCGAATTCCGTTACTTTTCCACCAATTTTTACTGATTTCTTTCTCGTATCCGTTCTGATATTTCGACTGCCGCTGTAATCCACGTAAAGCAAAAGTGTTCAAATCTCAATTTCTCGCTGACACCCCTTTTTAAAGAAAAAAATAGAGGCACTTAAATTGGAATCCTGGCGTGCGGCCCGTTCTCGCTCTGAGGAGGGCATAAGATCTAGGAAGACGTGAGTTTGTTGGCATTTTACAATTTTATTATGTTTACTTGTCGGACCTCCTCAAAATACCGTTTGCATCACACTAGAAATGCTATGTTCCCCAGCCCTCCATTCTTAATGAACCGTTTAACCTTTGACACTTTTAGTGATAGGAACGTCAGAAGCTGACTTGTATGCGTGTATCGGTGCTGAAGTGTGCCGCTTTGCTTTGTTGACTGACCTGTCATTTCAGTTTCGTGGAAGCTTGAGGGTCTACAATCACATGGCCCAACTCTTGGCCCACAGCAGTAGGCGCAAACACCACTGCATTCTTCCCTTTTGGAAAAGATGGAAGCTTTAAGGAAAAAATATATCAAATGCCAAATTTAGGTGAGTAAGGCTGTAATTGGTTTTAACAAAAGATCAATGTTATCGTTTGGCTTTTTTTGTTTGCAATTGAGCGTCGGAGGAACAGGCGTTGATGTGTTGTCGCGAGTCCATTTTGAAGACGTGAAGCAGCAAAAAGTAAGAGCAGAAGATGCAATTTTTGATGTACAGAGGGACTAGTGGCCGCCATCCAATGGCCCTTCCAATCAGCTAGCATCACGTAAACTGGTTCCCTAAATACCTGCAAGACGAAACAGAGTTCAACATTTAATTCAAGTGCCCTATAGCCTCTTTTAACTTTTGAGCATAAGCCTCGTCATCAGTCTTTGACACCCTCCGGCGTCAGTGATGTGGGGAGAAACACTCATAAAAACGTCACGCTTATTGTCGAATTGTGATCAACCGAAAAGCTGACCAATTGCAACTCCACTCTTTTTCTCATGACATTTCTGCTGAGTGTCGAGTTTAGCGCTTTTTTTGCGATCCACATCAGCGTGGATGCAGATCGCCACACCTATCAACTGATTCAGTGATGCAGGAAGGCCGACAGAGTGGTTTTGTAGAGACAACACCTTCCGTTTACTTCACAGTAAGCTTTCCTACATTCCTAGACACATCGTTCCGAAATGCGTGTGAAGAGTGAGGAGGAAATTTACCGCACCATCACTTGAATTGTATTTTAATGCGGTTATCATAGACAGACCCGAAGTTAGTTGTTCCGTAAAGGACACGACTACGGATGCTGTTGCTTCAATCGCTACTACTGGTTCTGTATTTCATGTTGCATGCATCAGTCAAGAGATTTCACAAATTTTCTCATCCCCTGCCATAGAGGCTCACTGGCATAGTCCTTCCGCCACAATAACAGTGGGAAGGCCAAAGAATCCACGAAACCAAAATGGGAAGTTAAGCAGTGTATTCTGATGTTCGGCGTAAAATAAAGTTTCCTTAAATGCTCTAAATTATCTGTTCATGACACAGTTTCGTAGGGGACGACTACAAGTTATGAGGCACCAACTGGAAGGCCACGATAAAGATCCAGCGTCAAGTTCGAAGTCTTAAGACGCGTAACCAAAACTCTGGCAGTTTGAGTATCCTGCTTCCACAAGACACAAAAAGAACGCTTCAATAAAAGGCTGGCCTTCAATGTCTCCGTTCGAAGTATCTTCCTTCACCACTTATAACTTACTTTTGCTCGAGCCGTGACTACAATTGTGCATGTTTCCTTGAACGGTAGGAATGAAAACTGAAAAGTTAATCCTTTCAAAGTCATAAAGGGCTGTTATGTGATGACACTTCTGAGAGAAGCTTTTTAATTAAAAGAGACTTCTGCTGAAGTTAGACGTTATTACAAAGAAGTTGAAGGAAACACTTTCTCGGTGGACTGGTCAACTTTGCCTTTAACTACTCGTGTGAATGGTATTCCTGCTGGACATCACGGTCTCTGTTTTCTTCGAACGTCAAAAACGCGTCAAAGCGGAACCCTCTCCCATTCGCGCTGCTCATGAACCTTTTTAAAGCAAAAAGTCTTAAAAGCTTGTGAGACAGGACGTATTCGTAAATCTTATGCCATCAACTGGACAACCTCCCATCTTACCCCTACACCCAACTTGTCAGCCTTTGGTCTGCTATCACCTGGCAGTTAAACCGATCAAAAGGAGGAACTCGACATGACTTCTTCGTCTTGATTGCAATCCCGTTTGTACATGAAACTTCAGAGCCGCTCCCGAGCAAACATGAGTCAGTCGCTTTGGCGCTGATAAAGCCATTCATTGTGGATTATTTGCTTAGATGAAGTGGATCAAAGTGGCGTGGATTTCTTACCATCTGGCCGGATTAAAGGCTGTACTGGAGACTTTTGTACCAAGCGCCACCATACAGGAAACTCGACAAAAATTGCAAATAGTGTCTATGATGGCAGATACAGACCGACGGTCAAAAACGCCCAAACTTCCACATTTGTGCGTTTGTCTGTTTTTAACAATCAGAATAATAAATGCCAATTACGCCAGGTAGGATAATGGCATTACACAGCACATCGGAGAGCATTCCTCTCATGTTTGGACTCGGCTTTAGCGATCCAACCTGGACACAACTTCAACCCATTCGTGATCAAGGCTTCAAAAATTCAATGCTTGTTGGGCGGCATTTCGACACCAAATAGCACCCTCCCTTTCTCACATTACCACTTTTTCTACAATTCGCCAGCTTAGTGATTTGCATAACTTCACCGTTTTTTAGTCTCCAGATCAGATTTGGAGTTTGTGACATTATTATACCTGAGAGGGACTTTGGATATCTGCACAAACTTGTAATGTAATACTTCGACCTCTCTTTTCGTTGTTTTTTTTACGATAGACTCCCTCCTTCACCTGAACAGTAAGTCGGTAAGGTGTTATACGTAGCAGATTCAAATTCGTAAAGAAAAAAATGTCCTGATTTTGACCCCAAATGTTTGGACGAAGAACACATGCAGAGATGGAGGAGTCTGCGCCGATCCCTTATGGAAAGGTTGACCTTGGCATTCCTCTTGGGCAACTACTTCTGCAAAAGGCTCTAAACAAACAACTGCCCTTGTACCTGTAAAAAGAGTCAGCTAAATAAATACACGACACCTCTACCGTCAAAAATAGCCCAAGTGGATTACAAGAGGGAATAAAATGCGAAATATCCATTCCAATAAAGTTTTGCGAACCTCTCTGTTACTAAATGACCCTACGATTTGATCAGCGACCTTACACCTAGCAATGGGAGCGCAAGATGTTCAACACACTCCCAGTACGGTTCCAACGCATGACAAGAACTCTACATCCGCTGCAACCACGAAAACGAGTTGCATGTATGATGCTGAGAAACCTCTGATCATTTTTATATGCCGTTTGGGTCTTGCCTGTACTCAGTGCTCCACATTAACACTTCCATCAAGTAGTATGACCTCCGTCGACAGTACACATTCTGCCTAGGCAAAGCAAATCTAATAATCACCATTTGACCATAGACCATTCTTTGCGCATTTTGGATGCAGTTGCGCCATCATATTTCATAGATTGTGTCAAAATCTGGCAGCTTACTAATTGTTTATTTTGACCTGGAAGGATTATACTCCATGCCAAAAAAATATGGCTAGCAAATTTTATAAACTCTACTAGCTAAAAAAGAGATATGGATTAGGTGTTTAAAGACATTGCACCGCAGCCTAGAAGAAATTAAAATCGCACCATATTCACTGTTCGTTGATGTAGTCAAGTGGTCACCCTGTGAAGGCATATCTTGCTAAATCAAAGTAAAGCCGTGATGCCCGTTTAGTCAAAAAGTTGAAAAAACATGCTTTTGTGCTAAGTTCACACTTAAATGATGCTGGTAAGTCAAACTTCTGTTTGCATCAGAAGTGCATAGATATTGTGGTATCTTTATACCATCAGACTTAGTCCATAATTATGAGCATTCGTGCTCAGCAACAGTACACTTGCGGCAGCACACACATGTTGGCTTTGGTAGATCTGTTGCTCTTTCCCACATAGTCTTCTCATGGTTCCTTCGATCTAATTCAATCGGTGGGTCTCTAGGTTGCCAATCCGGTGGAACAGCCGTTCCTATTCTTCCAATGTACGTGCCTGGTAGACTACAGGGCAGATCATTCATACGCTTTGCCATGTCGGCTTCATTCCTCCTCTCGAGTTCTTCCTTAATTGCTGCATCCTGTAGTCTGCGATGTTGAGCCACACTGCTGCCTTGACTATGAGCATAGGGAGATAATTGTAAGCCTACTTATAACATTATAGTAGAGAGCCTAAAGGGCAAAAGATCTCAAAATAGTAAGGCGGCGTCTGACCAAAGCACATTAATTTCGAACATAACTTGAAGACGCAACCAAGAACTTGTAATCAAGAGCAAACGTTTGTACATTTTAATTAAAACTTATCGGCTGAATGAAAGAGGTGAGTAGTAGATTGTACCACACCATTGTGTTAATTTGTTTGGGTTGGGCTCTATTTCCGACAAATTCTTTGAACCCTCTCTCTCTAAGTAGCCTGATGAGAGTTTCGTTGGAAAAATGTAGTTGCTGGAACAAACACGGATTGCGTCAGTTAAAGAGAACAATAATTTAAAGGAGTGAACAGCGGATTCTGTTTCCTAGTTGCCAAGCGCGTAGAGTTAGCAGGGAATAAAAGCGATGAACCTGGTAATAAGAACGGATAAGAAGAGTACGGTGCTACCAGAACATAGTTTTCCGTGACACTGTAAAGCAGGGCTAAAAGTACATATCGTCCTATTTGATTTCCAAAGTTTATTGTTAATTCTTATATGACAATGTCTACTCAGTAGTGAGGGACACATGAATTAGAAGTCTAGTTGTAGCATTTGGTTGGAAATATTCATAACACTTACGAAGCTGTCAGTTGTCTGGCTCTATCTTTGCCATCTTCATTGTTGGGTGACTAATAAACCAGATGCACACTACATGAGAACTGAACAGTGAGCACATGTAAAATGCAAAAGGATATCCAGATTTTCAAAAGGCAGAAGAAGAGAATAATCGACTTGACTAATTCCATTGCATCTTAGTTTGCATAAATTAGAAAGGCTCTTTTAAATAACAAATGATATTGATAATAATACGGGTTTTTAACAAACCGGATGCCTCCTTGCATTGCCCACGATTATTTGCTTATAATTCGGTATTAAAAATGGGTCTGCAGATTTCTCCAGAGTAGATAATGGATAATACTGCCTAGCGAACATATTTTTATCAAAGGGAACAGCTTTATATGCCCTGCTCAGAAAAATCAAACGTCACTGCTTATGAATTCACATACAATTGAGTAGTCGTTTTGTACAAATAGCCAGTAATGTCTTTATAGTCTTTGTCAGGTTCCTCTAGCCAAGGGAACGGCTACCGGAACATTATGCTCGCCATGTAACTCACTAGGTGGGGTAGTGCATTTGATATTCGGTAGTCCCTTGAATATTGTTTCTTCAAACCATGTATCATAGCATCTTTTAAAATTAAAATAATTTGCAGAGGTACGGCGTAATTCCGTCGGATTAGCCTTGTCGAATGCATAACTATTGCGATTCTGACCTGACTTCTCCAGAAAATCATGCTCGATTCTTGAAAAATGACCCTGAGAAGCCTAGCTATGAAGTAGGCTTATTTATTACCTCGATTAGACAACTTTTATTTTCATGCAGTTCACTACGATTTTCTCTTAGCTTTGGATTACAGTCCTCTACCCGATCACAATATTCTGTCCCGTGATGCTTGAAAGGAAGCATTGCTTCGACTTCACGCTCCGCAAGATCCCTTCTTCTGTTCTCTGCGGCCTCTTGTGCCTTTTGGGAAAGATATCTGCTTTTATCCCTTTGGGATCTTTCCCTTTGTCGATTTAAATCACAAGCATAATTTGCATCGCTTGGGATAACACAATGAGTGTGATCACTTGCACTGTTTGTAAGAAACCTCTGAGTAGTGGCTCCATCTTGTGTTTTATCAAATAACATCTTTTCTTTAGTAATTTGCTGATGGTTCCAATAGCAGCGCTACAACACCCGTACTTTAAATGTTTATTGTTATGCATTTCTAGAAAGTTGATACAGTAAAAGAAGAGTAAGCGATTATGTCCTTGAAAAAGCGAAGTGCGAAATAGTAATAACACAATTCTTTATGGGCCTATCAACCACCACTTTTAATTACGGAGAATTCAAACAAAAACGTTTTTGATGCAATTCACTAGGCTTATAGAGGATTAAATATTTTAAGAGCATCTGAACTGTAATGGATCAAACGTATTTTTTTTAAGTCTACCAGGCAGAAGTTAAACAATCGCGCGACCCCTGTGACGGCGACAAGCGGTTATGCAGAATGAGCCCAGCGCACAGCCCTCAATTTTCTACCAGAACCTGGATTTCGACTTCCAAGTAAGGAACGAGAATACCACAACCGGGTGCCTTACAGAACGACACGAGACACCACCAGACGCGAGAAGTCTACTCCCTACCCCACTAAGGCACACAAGTAGAATCACTTCAGGGTCGTAAAAATTTACATAAAGAAACAATAGATACTAATTGATAAATGAGGGGTCAGTGTGTCGGTAAAGTGTCGCCTATCGTCTGTTCCTTGAACCATTACTCGTCGTGGCTATCGCCGCTGCTGCTGCTGCAGCTGCAGCTCTAGCTGCTTGCCGTCGAGTTGTGATGATGGATTCAAAGGGAAGCTAAAATAAAGACCACCGTCAAGAGGTTAGGCATCAATATGGAAAGATACGGTAGATGGGTGGAGTCGCGAAAACCTACAGGTGAGTTTCGATCCCCCTTGGTGCTGCTCTTTTTCTCTTCAGCGCCCGCAGGGCTAGGCGAGGGCCGCTTCTTGGCCACGGGAGGCTCTGCACTGGGCGAAGGGGTGTCATTGCTAGAGGTTGCCTTTGTACTCGCAGTCGTCTCATCAAGCCTCGTGATATGAGCGTCGGTGTTTGCAATGGTGGTAGTGAAAAGACGAGTTGAGGGAAGGGGGCGCTTGGTAGATGAGACAAATCGCTGTGGGCTGTTTGTAGTTGTGGCGGGAATACGAGAAGCCAGAGTGGCTTTCTGAGTGGAGGACATGGGGACTGGCGAGTTTTCAGCCGAATAGGTACGCGTGCTTGATGGTGTTGTTGGTGACTGCTCTTCCGTTATCGGCTTGGAGAGGCTGTGGAGGGAACAAAACCGATTAAATAAATATAAATTGCTGCCTTTATTTTCAGACAAAACTGACTGAGAGGGCGCGAGTGTAAAAAAATAACAAATTTTAGCCAGCGTTTGTTCGAGAGGCAACACTATTAGCGTCTAAAACACCCTCGCACAGGACGTTAATTTATCCTTAAAAACTTTGGAGGGAAGCATTTCCAGCAAATGCATTGTATTGGCTACTTCAGTGGAATTGCACAAATGAAGTTCAAAACACTTTGGAGGTGGGAAGTGCATAGAAGTGAAGGTCAAAACGACAACTCACGCATTTAATCGCGATTCAATAAATTTTCCATAGTCCAGGTAGGGCATCACTTTGTGGCGTGCGAGCTTCCGACACCACTTTTGCACGGGGCACCGTGAACGAGCGCAAGCGCACTTAACGGTGTAACGGCACGACCGATAGTCGAAGTCGAAGGGAATTGTCAACTCAACGCCAGGCATCAGTTCCTGTGTTGTGCGTATTATGATACGCAGTTTGTTGCACACGATAAAGTGGTCGAGCTGAAAGAAGGAGTTGATAATGATAGAAAACACTTAATTTCCACTTGAAATTTGGAGTAATGAATTACTTACGAAGCAATTGGGGATACAGGACCGACGAATGAATCGAGCATCGTTGCCGTACTGGGAAGTGTTTATTGCTACCGCACGATCCCCAAAGTTGTGGTAAATCATGACATAGCGATTGTAGCTGTGATCAATAAAGTACAATAATGTAGATGTTTGCAAAGATTAAATGTACTCAGTCCTATATAAAGACGTAGTCTAATTAGGGTCCACAAACTTTAGAAGTTATCCTCCCCTCCTCCTGACGCAGCAAGCAAAATGACACCTAAAATAGTAAGTTAATAACTAGGCCCTTACTGTCAACCGGTAAACGACTTTTACGGTTCCCGTTTGAGCCTCTACTTAAGCAATTATTGCCAATAACTGCTCTGCTCCTCTGCAAGCTCATGTCAAGGCCACTTAAGCAACATCAACAAAGAGTAATCAAATACGGCTGTAAGATGGCAACCCACTCATTGATGGGATCGATGAAATGTTCATATTCTTCCAAAAGCATGAGGTTTCCTCGAATCTCCGTCACAACCTCGCCCTTTCCAAGCCGAGCCGACGCTTCAAGACCCTAAAAAGGGGTTTTAATGAGCGTATCAATAAGTAGGTGCAAGCATAATGAAAGATGGTAAGCCCTTCGACTTCAGGACAGTTTAGGCATTACGAAGTGCTCACCTTGTCGTTGTGATCAAACATGACAACTCGGCAGAGCGGAGTCCTACCAAGACAGGTTGGAGGGAGCCGCTGAACACGTTCTCGACCACTGGCGCTGAAGCGCGCAAAAAACGCGGTGAGACATGATGGTAATACCGAGACTACATAAAAGCTCGCGACTAGTTCAGAAAAACCCCAACAGTATCCCAGAGAATTTCAAATCCCAGCTGCCGGATCACGCTCGATTGACAATTAAAAAAGTAACTTGAAGTTTTTTTAACCGTGGACTTGACAACACGAGTAGATCCACTTCAACAGCGCTACTCAGGCTAGCGCGTTTTGAGAAGCTTTCTGCATTTAGCTCCCATCACTAATAGCACCAATATCACAAGAAAACCGCATGAACTTATCAGTCTGCACTTTTTGGGATGATCCTCTGACCTCGACAAAAGCATACAATTTCTTTCGTGAATTGAAGATAAATCCTATTCTTTCATGGCGTGATTTATCTCGTCCCCATGAGGGACTCGGAATCCCACAAAACGGCACTCAACTACACAAAGGTACTAACTCAGGTGACAGGAAAATAACAAAACAGAAAGTTGGAAAATGAAATTGAAGTTAAAAATAAGAAGTCCGGGTATCCGGAGGTAACTGTGTTCCACAGTTTGCAATGGAGAACACCCAAAAAATAACAACTTCTGCCAAAAGACATTTTAAATGTTGAAATGGAGTAACTTTACAGCTAAACACGAAAAGTAAGCCGATTTTAGCATTTTTAAGGACAACTTAGGTTCCACAGTGCCGAAACAAAGAGGAGAGAGAACTTACATGCGCTGCGCCACAAATGCAAGGAGATTTTCGGAGTAAAAGCTCACATCAGCCTCCTTGTAGTCCTTCGCCCAGGCCGAGCCCAGAGTTGAACCTACTATGTTTCCGCGCTTGCCCATCGACAGACGCAGCGGCGAATCGCCAAAAGCCGACATTCTAAAATAGAAGGTGTCACACATGCATTCGCAGAGTAAAGTAAACAAGGGACTACAATGACTGATGAGCATATGAGCCGCTGTCAGTGCGGCCCCAAAACATGCAGGTGGCAAGACTTCTTAGTTCTTTGAGTGGGAGCATTCAGCATAAAAGAAAGTAAGGAGAGGATTAAAGACCAACCTCTGCTTCTTCCTGCTGCCACCCACGCCTAAGGCCATGGGACTGGTGGTGGGGGTGGATTCCGCGGAAACAGTAACAATGGGACTGGAGGGTGAGCGATCGACAGTGCCTTCAGCAGAGTAGATTTTCATATGATGATGGTAGGAAAGTTGAAAAGGTGTGATTTGCCTTACTGGAGTCTCAGCTGGGGTACTCAGAGTGCTCACAGTAGGTGTAGTAACAGTGCTTGATGGACTTTCTGTAATAGCGGATTCGTTAGCCACACTGACCTTCGAGGAAGACTGCAATGCTTCGACATCATCTGTTATTCAGGAAGTAGAGAACAAGGTTAAATTCGATTGGTTTTGTTTGAAAAGAAATGGGGCTCCAACAATTCCAATAAAAAACTAAATAAGGTTAACAGAAACATCCTAGTCCAGGGGATAGATACAGCCAGTTTCACATACATGACGTGGTAGTAAGATCCTGTTTCCGTTTGGACGCTCTCGGTGGAGAAGGGATTCGACGATTGACATCTGTAGTCTCGTTATTCTGACGTTCAAGACAATTCTATAGGTTGAATAAAAGTGGCTGAATTATAACCACGCTTTGAGTCAACCAGCATAGAGACAAAAATTAAGTCACCATCTTATGACGTTCATCAGTGTTTGGGAAGGTGGTGCCTCGTGAGCCGGATGGGGCGCTACTGCCACCGATAAGGCCGAGTTGGCGGGCCCTATCTGTGGCAGTGGCCAGAAGCTGGGCGCCACCGATTGGATGCTTAAGGACTTCGCTTTTGCCTGCGTGGTGATGAATAAGGGAGAGCAGATTCAATTGCTTTGCCGACTCGCGCTGCTTCAGCGCGGAGAGAACGCGTTCCACCACTTCTGAGCGGACATTGAAGGCTGGCCGCAGACATGAGGGACAGAGATAGACGGAGGGATCTAAGAGTTTCTCTTTGGGAGTTACATTTGTGGGATCAGATTCGTCTATGCACGCTCCATCCTCGTACACTATCTCCATGCATTCCATATGTTGTAAGTAACTATGACAAATACAAAGGAATAACATCAACACTTATCACATTGAAATAGCGGATGAGGATTGGGCAAATACTTGGGATTTAGTCTGGTTTGATGTACCCCAAAAAAATGAGTAAAGAAAACTTTGGGACACATATTATTTGATTCAAGTCGACATTTGTAGATATCTCACCGGCAATTGAGACACTGCAGCATTCTTGAGTCTCCAACCTTAACATCGCAAAGACAGTTTACTGTAGACCACATAGCGGGCTGAAGGAAGGATAACAAGTAGCTAGGAAGTGAATCAAACCAGTGTAAATACTAACAGGGATAACATTGCAGAAAAGACAAGAGTAACTTGGAATTTGGAAATAGTAAATGCTAACTTTAGGACCAGGATCAGCTGCAGATCGGCGTGAGCTCTGACCGGGAATATTAGAGGCTTCGGTATCAGAGTCCTCTTCGTCCGAACTTTCGAGACTGCTGAGCTTTGACGGTGAAACACAAAGATCCTCTGGAACTTCGATTACCTGGACACGAAATGTTCAGCACGATGGTTAAATAAGAAACACATCATGAAAACAAAACAAACGTTCGAACAACAAATCTATACACAATGTAGGAGTCTATTAGCACAGAGTATGGGACCTTGATCAACTTAAAGGTATAATTCAAAAAATGACAGATGCACGACTCCAAGTTATGGAAATTAATGCAAACAGCAAAACATAACAGGTCCTTCTAACATACACCGCATTAAAGAGGAGAAAGCTCAGGATGACCCAGCCCACCCAAACCCTACATTGTACAAAAATGGCAATCGAAACGTCAACAGAGTGAACAAAACGGTAGCGTGAAAACAATAGTAAACGAAAAAATTGAACTCAATTTACTAAAATCATTAGGTAGGCTGCACGCAGTGAGAATTTGAAGCAAGAATTGCATGTAACGTTTCATGGTTCCTGATCACGCGAGTCTTGTACCTAAGTGATCAACGAAAGAATAAAGGGAGTCAGGTGTCTAGTCTGCTGAAGACGGGAGACTGACCTTCATATCCGATTCAATATACACTCGCTCTCCTTCGGATTCCTTTGTGACGCTTTTGCAGTAGCGCGGTACTGAGAATAAAACCTGGTCCTTACCAGCAGCTTGTGTCAGTGTCTCCACCTGTTGCTGTTGTTGTTGTTGTTGTTGTGCCGACTGTTGATCACTTTCCTGGACTTTCCAACGCTGTTGCACAAGCAGAGTACCACCGCTAGCCGCGGCCTTGGCGTGCCATGCAGCAAACAGTGCTTTTTTTGACTCAGAGAGGCCCGCAGTAGATTCATCCAATGAAGCAATGTCAAGAGGCGCTGATTTATTTTGTGAGGAGGCGAGCTTCGATGAGGTTGAGGAGGAGGCATTCGATGATTTCACACCTTTGGTTTTGATAAGAGACCTCGATAGAGAAACATCCTGTCCGTTTTCGTCGAGATCAACGACTGGTGCTGTCCCAGACGCTGACCTAGACTCAACCGGTGGTTTGGCGACTTCAAATGGTATGGTGAGAACAGATGGTTTATGAGTGAAGTTGATATCCATAAGATGAGGAGCCATGGCTGGAGGCGTCAGTCCAACTGGCAGAGCATAGTTATGGTCATTGTAAGGAAGACCAAAGGAGCAGATGGTCGGACCGAAGGATACCCCAGTTTCCGGGTAAAGGGCATCAAAATCCTGGATACTACGAATCGCAAATAAAAAGCATTGTAGTAAAATGCAACCAAGTTGCACAAAGATAATAAAGCTTTGCAACGAAACTCTTGAATACAATTTCAAAAAACTCTGACAATGGGAATTTTTAAACATAATTATAGGTTTAGGGACGTTGAGGAACCTGAAGCCGAATGACCAGAAAAACCAAATAAGGTAAATGTGCACACCTCTTCATCACCAAAGTTGTCCCTTTCAAGAGCATCAAGTAAGTGGGATATTTACAATCCCTGTATTAAACTTTTGACTGTACAGAATGAGAAAAGCACGGATGACTTTACTCAGTGGAATCAGCAGCAAAATTTAAGAAATAAAAGTCCACGCTAATCGCTTAACATAAAGTGATATGCGAATAGAACCCATGCATAAGATAACAAGGTGGCCTGTGGTGGTTCCCATTTACAATTAAAACGAAGTAAGAACAAGAACGGGAAAAGATGAAATGCAAGCATATCTGCTCCACGCAGGAAATATACCCATGTATTAGGAGGAAGGCATCGTACGAACAAATTCGAATAAAAACTCTACCGTTTCTCTTTATCTATACAAGCAGTAAGTTCGAACATTGGTCCAACAAGATGAACTCCGCTCTCCGGATCGAGGTTTGCAAATCGTTGTTTGGCGGCTTGAAAGAAATTGGAGAATGGTTTCACATACTTAAAACCTTGAAGAGGTGACGATGTCTCTTCTGCAGCAATGTCCATTGTGGAGTTGGGATGTGAATAAAAAACAGGCTGGGTCGAAGGTGTGGAAATAAAAGAATCACGCATTCAGTATAATGATATTAGCAAAACAGCTTCAGCATGTACACCAATGTATAACAAGGGGACCAAACAAGGACTTTGAATAGCGCTTATAGAGTACCAAGAAACCAACAACGCTGATTTCCTATTACCGCTTATTCGTCAAAGTTAAACACCACTTCTAAACACCCGGATATTAATCTTCGCGCAACATATCAAACAATGAAATCGTTCAAATCAGTTCAAATTATTGTTACCACGATTTGCGAATGAATAGTAATTTGCAAAACCAGGCTAAAGTATTGCAAAATTACGTCACGCGAAATTTAAGGGTTGAGAACCTAGAGTCAAATCTTGTTAATCACTCCTAATTGAGTTAGGTGTAGAGGCGGGTGAAAGTCGACTTGAAAATTATAAAATTCAAATAACTCTTTTTAATTTATGTCCAAGACGCCTGGTTCTGCAAACAGAGAGTGGTCTTTTAGCTGTTTCTTGTGATTAACCCCTGAGTCCTCATTAAAAGTTTTACTTCGCCTTTGTGTTATTTCAAAATTTCAAAAGCATAAGTGTTTATCTTTGTCACTTGATGATATCATAATTCTTTTATAGGTTATGGCATTGAATGATTCCGTTCCGTTGTTTAAATTTACCTTTCTCCTCCATTTTGGTCAGCTCCTGTAAATGTTCTGTAGCTTCGCGAGACTTCCTAGTAGATGGAGGAGAGCATTAAGTTGGTTTGAATGCATGTGTTCTAGGCAGCGAAGAAGGATTTTGGCTTCGCCTTTGTTCAAAGGTCGGTCCGCATGCACAAGAGCAAGGCGAATCCTAAAGTAACCGCTAGACATGAGGTGGTCACATAAATGAAACAGCGCATGTTGTTACGCTCCTCTTCGGAGTCAAATCTGCCGATTTACTACCTTGCTGCTTGTAGGATCTCCTTCATCATGTGCCACAAAGACCGCCTTTCTGCCTTATCGCTCACTTGATCACTTAACATTGCGTGTTTGTTGGGCTTCTCTAACGTTCAATCAGTATCTTGTGGTTACTCAAAAATTAAAAAAGTAATGTGGGTGACCAAGTTATGTTGCATATGGTGTTATGGATTTTGTTCGCATAAGAACAGAATCCAAGACTTTACAGGCAGTGGAAAGTCTAATATGCCACTTGAAGTGAATGTGTATGTGTAGAGAAGGAAGGCAATCGAGACTTTCGACTGGTTCAGGTGTCGGACTGCACGTTTAAGGTAGTACAACCGCCCAAAGGATTGCAATCTAAATCGGAAGTCAATCAACTGAAGTATTGTGATGGTAATGCGCATAGTTTGTAGACGTTATGTGAGTGCCCATATGAGACTCGGGTACGGGCTCGACTGCCAACCATACTCATGGCTTACACCGAATGATGGAATGTATAGGCATTTTCTTCTCCTCCTTAAGTAAATAATCAAATTTAGGACGAAAATGTAGGATTCTTTTTAACCACATGATCGAGTTTAGCTTGCTGTCTCCTACACTGGTTTGCATGTTAGCGGCTTTCAAATTGTGCGACACCTGGCAGGTGTGGTTCGATGTCTCTGCAGCTGTTGTGCTCCGGCATCTCTCTCTGCTAGTACTTGTGCTGGCAATACAGGTGAGATGACCATTCCACTACCAGGAAAAGTGTTATGATGAATGAGATACTGCCCTTTTTAGACACTTCCGTTTGCTGCTCAACTGTCACTGTAAAGAAGAGAATGAGATTTTAGGTTATTGAACCTTCTCGGCATGAGCTGGTACAAGTCTAATTCGATGGGCGATAACCTGCATATGTGTAGAGTTACCCTTCATTCCTATGGTTTCTTCAATTCGTAAACTAGCCCTGGGATCCAGGGACGTGCGTATCGTGAGGTAGGTTGACGTGGACACTGAAAAAATTAGCAAGATTGCAGACATAATGTTATTCAGGCAAATTTTATTGCGCACATGACGCTGCAGAATGAAGCATTCAAATTTTGTTGGTGTTGGAATAAGTCCTTCTGTACCATAAACTACCGGTGTGTTTAGGGACAAGAGTTTGTTTGGCTTCCACTAACGTAAATTGGAACTCAAATAAATCTTCCATGCCCATTGTAACGTTATTTAACCTCCACTTTTTTTGTCCCAAATGTGCTTATCTGGAAAAGGGAGATTAGGTGGCTATTTGCCATAATTGCAACATGAACACATGATCCCTCCTGTGGGAAGAGGTAGAGCCATGCACTCATCAATATTTCCGACTGACCAATTTTTGTCTGTTTACTCCTTCCATGTTTTGGAAGGCCTTCTTTCAAAATCCGTGCAGTTTTTTGTCTGGAGGTGCGAATTCGATGGAAACAAACTCAAAGTCCCAAGCATAGTTCACTTTGGGTTCTAATTTGCTATTCCACTCCAGCACTTCCTGTTTATCTAAATCCGTGCATAATGCGGTTACGATCCGGTACGGATTCACTTTTGAGCAGTATTATTTTACGAGTTCGCACAAACCCAAATTTTGGAGGGATATTTTGAGACAAAAGGTTGTTGCTCTTGCCTACAAACAGCCATTTCACAGTTACTACGATGCAGGCAAAACACCCTTCAGCTTCAACAATTCCTCGCCAGATTATTTATGCGCCACCTGGAGAACATACTTAAGCATTCCATTTGACTGACGAGACCAACGGCCGATGCTTCACCTGTGGTGCATGGAGAAGATAGGCAGGAGTGGAGCGTAGTGCATCAAATGAATCAGTTCGTTTAGCAGATTCCTTACGTGCAACGTTACGTTTCATAACACTTCAATCAAGGCGACAGGCAAAAGTAGTTGGTTTAACGTGTACCAGCGTGCAGTGATGGTGGCTCCTGTCAACTCCACTGGCTCACTCAAATTCACTCGTGTCTACCAAAGACCTCCGACACTGCACCTCACCTCACCTCTCATGCGACATGCAAAGCTACTCTACAGACAGACGGTTCATTGGTCCAACCACCACAACAATGCAATGACCAGTCTTTTTTAGCACTGACACTCACTCCACAACACTGAGGTATGCGCACAACCACTCACCACGTGGAGTGTGTACCTCAGAGTGGACGCCTGGTTGGTAAAAGGAGGTGCTGTGCGGTGGGATGAAGGTGTGGCGGAGACAGAGGCGCCTGTGATAGTAGTGGAGGCGTTGGTGTTGAAAGCTTGTGACATTGGAATTGGTTACAAATCGAGGGATTAATCAGTTAATCTCTTCAGGTTAGCACAAGGCTGGTTTCTACAGGGACCTAAATCATTCAGTATCAAAGCCATGTGGTGGAATCAGCGCATGGTGAACGTAACCGCCTGGAAGCATGACTCGGGCTCTTACTCTGTGGCTGGCGGTAATATCCCTCGCGGTCCTTATAATCCTTCCTTTTCGCATTCCCTTCGCATTATCCGAATATGCACTGAACACGAAATCTGTTGTTGTCTAGCCGAATCGACACTTTATGGCATCTTGATTGGAGTACCGATAACAATTACTTATGGAGGCAGGAAGGTAGAAGCTGAGAATGATAAAAGCAAGTGGTAAAAATAAGCTCAATCAGCAAATGGGGGCAAAAAATTATCGAAGAAAAAGGTGGTCATGCTTTGCTAACCAAACATACAGCGGAGCGAGCCAGGGAGAGAGGGAGAGGGAGGTGGGCAGAGGGCGGGAGAGAACACAATTTAGAGGTTGAAATAAAAGGGTTGCATGCAAAACGCCGCCTCATGAAAGGCCTCTCCTACGCTTTATCGCCTTAATACAATAGGTAGTCATGCTGCCTGAGACGAAGAGGGTGAGTGGACAGGCCTTAATGATCGTGCACTCCGAGTCAGTAGACATGAAGGCTTTGAGGAGGCAACAAAAACTATAAATATTTTAAGTCCTGTATTTTTTTAACATTACTGATGGAACAAAAATGCCTGCAGGACCCTTGAGGCTTTGAAGTTGGAGAGGCCTAGGGGTTCATCAATGCACATGCAGATTGGAATGGAGATGAAGCTTCTAAGGCGTGGTTTCACCACCTTCAAATGAAGGAATGCGCATACTGCAGATGACATACTCAATAGTCAACTTCAACAGGAGGCTTAAAAATGATATTCGTCTTGGACAATAACTACCGTCTCCTTTGTTACCCTCTAATCGGTTGAGGAACCGGATTATTCGGGAAAGTTCGTTATTGGCGGTGTTTATAATACCTGTAAGAACACGTAATACTCCCTCCACCTCCCCAACTATTGCGAGAGCGCTTAGGTAAACATGGATGAGCAGTAGTGAGGTGAGGGGTCGCGCAAAGCTGTTCCCACTGAAGTATGTCAAATCCCTTCTTGTGTAACTGGACTCTGTTTTAGAGCGGAATCTTTCCGCTACTCCAAATCTGCCAAGCGAAATCTGAATTTTTACGGAAATTGAATGAATAATTTGGTTGGTCTGTAGGCAGTTTCCTTCCTGTTACCGACTAAGTTGTATTGGTTAATCAAGGAGATCGCTTAAAGGATAGGTGCTCGCATAACTTCTTCATTCCGAATTTTATTTTAGCCATTTATGAACACTCCGGAAGTTCTATTACCTTCCCTTCATCCACGAAACTCTCGCACCACTTTTAATGGGTCTCCAGTGATGTTGCAGGTCGCCACAGTGAAGCATTACAAAAAATGCGAATATGAAATTGTGGAGTTAGCAAGGAGTCAACTCAATGCCGATTTCTGGTGCTGGCTCCTAGCGGCGCAGTCCAAAATACATGCCTTACACTAGTTCACACGAAAAAGGAGTCAGAGCCGCATTAATTAATTGCCTCAGAGATTGGGATGAAACAGTTAGGCCTTACAAGGGCGCCAATGTAAATAAAGAATGTTGAAAAGGAACAAAACTTATTGAGTCTAAAGGCTTAAAAAGGGTACGACTATAAGAACTCGCATTTGACAACAAAACAAAACTGATCTCGAACCTTTCA